TGAAAACATCGCCTACAAACAACTATATTTACACAAGTTTCTTGCGAAAAAAACTACATTCTACAAGATTACGTTCAAATACATTATGAAAATCTTATGTTTGTAATTTACCATTGCCTAAGACTTATTTTTTTACTTGATAGAGCTCTAATGACGCTACAAATGGTAACGCAAAGCAACCTCTGTTAGCTGTTGCTTTGCTACTGTAGTTAGCTACGCTGAACTGTGCTGCCCAAAAGCTGCTACGGTTCAAGGTTCAAGGTTCAAGGTTCTTTATTTGTCATACGAACATAGCTACAGAGTAGTTATGTCGATGAAAATCTTAGGACACAGGCTTCTCCAACAGTGCAACACAATAATACAGAAAAACAGAAACATATAGTGCAAGTAAATATTAAAAAGTCAATACAAAAAGAAAAATAGTTTAAAAAAAGTGAAATAAGAGTCTATATGCAAGCTATTGGAATGATATATTAGATAAATAGATCAATAATTACTAAGTAGCAGATGAATGTTATGGATGTTGTTTGATTAGCTACGATTTCAACACAGTTTTGTTTACAATGTTGCATCGTCAGGGACAAAAGATAACGGTTTTCTAGACGTGTCCATGAATAGGTTTGATTTTAACGCTGTCCTGGTAGCTTCTGTACTACCTGCAGAACTGAAAACGAGTACCATCACGTCTTCAGAAGTTTGCTATCGACTTTGTACCCCAGCATCCGTTCTCGTGACATACCCATGTTGGAGTACTTTGTTGTCAGTGATGAGGGTTGTGGTTATGGATTATTTAACACACAGCTCTTGTTGTCTTTTGACTCCCTAGAATCAGGAGCCAAAACACAGCAGAACACAAGACTCTTAAGAAAGCCTTGAGAAGATGTCCTGTTGTTGTGCCTTTAGCACACGTCGATGTGTTGTCTAGTCTAGCAACCAGGCCGAACCTAAACAGCTCTAAATTGAACCTCTTCCCATTGTCTCCTCCTCCTCCTCCTCGGCGTGTCTTTATCTCCCGCCCAAGAGATGTTGTGCTTTTGTTGTGTGCTTGTGTAAACACGGGCTGTGTGAGAACCCTGCTCATCGAAGCAGGTGGCCGCGGAGGCTTTACTGTCATGAGCATTAAAGAAAAACAGAACACGGAGAAGGGTCAGAGCACAGCTGCGCACGCCGACCCTACCTTGAATCCACTGCCGACTTGTTTGAGCTGTTGAATTCCAGACAAGCATGACAGGGGGACAGGCATTAGATTTCCAGCAGGAGAGAGAGGGGGGGGGGGAAGAAGCAGGGGAAGGGCTGATGAGCTCTGGCCGCCGGCTGTTCTTAACCTTCAACCTGTCTGGTCAGGTGGGAGACACATGTGACTCTTGTTTGTACTGTACTCCCCATATTCCAGGCACGGAAAACAAAACAAACTGTCAACAAACAGAAACTCTGACCTTTTTTTTTTATTATCCAGTATTTGTTCCAAACACTTGTTTTGCAAGCAACCCCCCCCCCCCCCCCCCCCCTACCCTTACCCTTACCAAAGGAACAGACATGCATCTAATAATCAACAGCACAGCCAGTTCTTTTGCCTTGTTTTCATCTCCTGGAATTTCCATTATTTCTATTCTTTTTGAAACTATTTTTTCCGAGAAAACAAAAATATGACATGCTCTATTAATAATGAGGTTTTTTTCTCTCTCTCATATCTCCTTTTGTGTATTGTTTTATGTTGGCATGTTGTGTTTGGAGCTGAACACATGTGCTTTTAACCCCAGAACCTCCTTATAGCAGGACACTTGACCCATAATTACAGCTATAGTCATACTTGTTGTATAAATGGACCGGATGGAAAGACTTGGAGCCTTGTAAGTCTTCGCAGAAGAGGCTATCCCATGAGTAGAGTGGAAATAAATAGATAGATAAACATTAGGCCGAGTCACGTGTCCGAGCCGCCCCAGCTGATGATGGCGTCCCCGCCTCAGCGCCTCACAGATTAACATTGTTATCAGCACAACTCTCTAATAAGGCTCTTTCCTATCTTCTTGATATTTATGATGGATAATGCCCATTTTCCATTTTCTTCTTTCCTCCGATTTCTTCCTCTCACGATATTGCAGCTTTGAATTATTATGTGGTGAAATTAATGAGAAAGTAGATTTATGGGTTTCATTTGTTTGTCAATTCGGAAATTAATTGGGTGTTAATTTTAGCCATCCCCTCATCAGTGCCGGTTCTAAGCATGCGCGCATTACTTTGCATTCATTGTAGCCTTTCCCTCCCTTTATCCTGGGTCACTAGTTTTTGCATACATTAAAATAGCCCCGCGGCTCATTCCCTTGATTACTTTTGGAGATGCCATGCATTTGGAAATGTACGCCTTTCCGTTATAATTATGAAGATTTCACATGGAATGACAGTGCATGTATAATAGCCATTACTTTCCACCCTTTTTTATGAAGCATTGGAAGAAAAAAAACAGAAAGCAGACCATTCTTTTTCTTTCAGCATGTGGAATAAATATCTTTTATTTGAGAAATGAAATGGGGGTGAATAACGTCAGCCCATGGTTTATCTCAAATGGCATTTAATTTCAGCCCGAGAATGTGTGTTTTCTAATTGGTGAGTTGGTGCGAGCTGGGGCCTGTAGGTGGAGCCGTGGCTGGCTGCGTCCCATCCCGCCGTATTCCTCACTCCTTGTTTAGAAAATCCCATTATGGAGGGAGGCTGTGCCAGACTGGAAGGGTGAGCCGGGTCAACATCTGTCTGGAGGGGGGGGTGGCTCTAGCTCCAGCCCAGGACCGGGGCCTGTAGGCCGAGCAGAGCTGCTCAGACAGGCCCTGAGTGTGTGGGCGTAGTGACACACAGTGTCAGATGACTCACTCGGATATGCTTCTACAACAGAGGAGACGTGAACCGTAGAGGACTTTAATTTAGCTCTGGTGCTGTTTTAACTCACCACAACTGCTACTGAGCTGGGCCACTGTCCCAGAACTGTTTCACTTTATCGTTTTGCACAACTTTCAAAGCACACAAACATATAACAGATAACAAATGATATGCAGGAATCCTACTATAGCTTGTTTGAAGTGTCTTACTAAATGATTGCATGTCATAATTTGTTATAAAAAAACACAAGATTAATATACAAAAAATATGAACACATAATAAAAACATTAATAAAACTAAATGTGAAGAAAAAAAGACAATAAATGTGATTGTGAAAATAAATAATAATTGAATAATTATAAGAAATAATAATAATAAGAAATAATAACAATAAAATAGCTTTGAAAAAAACCGTTAAAAAAAGAATAATCCAAAAATTCACAACAAATAACCGAATTAGTAAAACTAAGGAAGACATAAAGCGACTTGTATAAATAAATACTATATAAATGCAAACTATAACATAAATAAACAAATATGAAAAATAGTCATACGAATATTAAGATTAAAGACCAATTAAAACTGTATGAGTCTGCGTGTAGAAAAGTGTGGAAAAGGAAAAAGCAGTTAGAAAACAGCAAATAAATGTTATTGTACGCATTCCTGGAGCAGCATTTTGTTTTGTGGGCGTACCCCTAAATCAGATTGAAATTTGACCTCTGCGATTGAGACATTAGGGTTTGGAGATCTGATGATTGGCGAGTGATTTTGCTTTAAAGTATATATTGAAATGCACAAACAATGGTTTTAAATAACCCCCACATCTAGATTAGTATCTCACCTATGCTCTGTAAATATTCTTCTGTGACAAGTTGTCAACATCAATTTCCTGTCTGTCAGCCTGAGTGTGTGTCCCCACGGTGTCTGGGCTGTGTGTCTGCATCTTGTTTAGATCTGCACCTCTGGAGACACACATTAACTCTCATTGGCCCCCGTTCCTATTACACGCCTTAAACGCAACACCGTAAATCTGCATTTAGTTCCATTTTCACCTTCTTTCATGATGAGCCCCAGTGTTTTAAAGGCATTTATTCTGCTTCATATAAATAATTAATCAGCCAAGTTAATTCGCTTCTGCCTGAATTGGTCAGCTTCATTAACCGCCCTGAAATTGGGGGGGCTAGACGCCGTGCGCCACCGAGGCCTCGACCGAACCACAATGGCTGTAAATCATCCCACTGATTTGAGGAATACGGGGGCACAGAAATGCGCCGCCGTCACTGGCATTTGTCCCAAGAGAGACTGAGCAAGGGTTGCGGGGGTGGGGGCATCCAGTCTGCCTGCCTTTTGTGTATCCAAAAGCAGAGCAGAGGTTGTACAATGTAAGCAAATAGCTGTGTATTCACATCTAACAGATTACTGCTGTCATACTTCTACATAACGCCCAACCAGTATTTATATGTTATCCTTTTGAGCTGGATTAAGTTATGAAAGACAACAAGTCAAAGGGTTTTATTTATATTCAGACCTGTGTTTTGGTGTTAATTGAGCACCCCTGAAGGATTTGACTGTTTTCTCTCGGCCTCAGATTGGATGTTTCTCATGGAGATCCTTTGGCAGGCCTCACACAGTCGCCCCTGTTTCCCATTAAAAAGCCATTCGGCCGTGGTTCTTCTGGGAGCCATGCGAGTAAATATATCCATTTCCATAGAAAGTGTTTTGTTTTGGAGGTTTACTGTTTTCTTGGGCTCCTCTCACTCAGGTTGGATTCCCCCCTCCCATCTAAGCCGGACCCCCCAACCCTCCATAATGGAGAACACAAACAAAACCCTCTTCTCAAAGTACACAGACTTGTCATCTGCAAAGAATCTGCCCCGGAAAAAACACCACAAAAGGGCGGCTCATTATTCTGCGGGATGAGCATGTGTTTGCCTCAGTGCACATGCTACAAGCAAACAAACAAGACACAGGGAAGCACAGACAAACAGGGAAACCTGCAATAAAAGTGAAATTGTGTGGGAAGGATATGACAGATGTTTATAGTTTGGCCCGGAGTTAAAATGCGACCTCATTGCAGTGTGTTTTAACAGCTGTTTCTCCCCGTCCCTGTTTTCCGTGTCTTCTCCCAGGTTTTTCAAGCCATGATGCAAGAATCTGGGACGGAGGCGACGAGCAACGGACTAGCCAATCAGAATGGAGGAGCGAGCGTGGAGGGCGGGGCTAAGAGTGCCACGCCGTCAGTGGAGGTGACTGCCGCTGACCTCCTGCATCTCCAACAGCACCAGGTACACCCCCCCTACTTTCGCACCTGTCTTTGCTTTATTAAGACATGTCAACAGCAGGCTTCTTCCCCCCTCTTAAAGTGCCACTTAATATTTAATCCCACCTCGAAGTACATCTAGTACATAAACACATTATTATTATTATTTATGTATATTCAGGCCCTTTTGGAATATTTAAAGAAGCAGAAGTGCTCTCTCTGTGTGATTGTGTTTGGTTGTGTTTATCGTGGCATGCGGCATCTGCATTTCAGTGAAATATTTATCGCGGACATATTTTAAGTGTGTAGGTGTCGCAGGATTTTATAGACAGTTAAGATACCGTGACATCCAATGGGATGACAGCATCTTCCCCTGGCTCGTTGTAAACACACCTCACACTCACAGCTAATGCCACACTCTGCCGCGTTAACCGGCGAGATGGCGTTCAGAGCCCAAAAACATTTTCAGCGTCTCAGACTGTGAGGCAAACAGACAAGCTCTTTCTGTTGGTGTCAGCGTTATGTGTGGCACACGACACTGCGTTTAAGGGAACAACATTGAAAAGATCAGTGTGTCTGCTGCTATCTGGGTCCATCCGACAGGACGACTCGGTTGTTGTCAGGAGCTGTTTGGTGATGATGCACAGGCTGTGTGCCGCTGTCTGGTGTCACAGCACATCCGTCAGCTCAGGGAGGGCAACACGATGCACCCTGCAACACTGGAGACTGGGCCCTGTAACATATAGAGCTGAGCCATAACTCACTGTTATCATCCATCATCTCATGGCAGTATCGTCATGACATCAGAGCGATATGATGATGTGACACTGTGATCACAGATCTGTTGTCAGAAGTGATGATAACCAGTAAATTCATTCATATCTCATTCTGACAACACAAAGAATGAGACCCTTTTCATAAACAGCTTAGCCGTTTGTCATCTCCCTCGGTGTAATACACGGGTCAATGCAGTCATAATCAGCTGTATCTGTTTAGACATGGTATTAAGGTAAACATCATCCATATTTTCCTGCCAGATAGCATTTGGTAAAGCTTGTGGACCATCTACTGGGCTTCAGCAAACTACGATTCTAACCAGAGGACCATTTTCAAGTGTCAATGTGTCTTTGTAATAAAGGCAATGATGGCCCAACAATTAAATGTGTAAAAAAATCAAAGCGATTTTGCTCATCCCTACTTATAAATCACTGACATAGTACGTAAAATGACCTCATAATTGATTATTTTTACATTGTTACAAGTTGTATATTTTAATGATGTCCCTCTTTTACCACCACTTGATTTATTTGAGTAGAGAGAATGTATGAATAATTGGAGGGGCAAACATGCAGCACAGGCCACATTGTTTGGATGTCGTCATGTTACAAGTACATGGTGTGTGCCTTGGAACAGGATACCTGTGTGAAGCACGATTCTCAGGGAATTAAGTGAGACACTATTGGAATAAATAAAAAAAGGAGCGGATTAGGCTTTAATCCTGAGAATTATAATGTGGGATAACAGGAAATAAAAGTTATATTCTAGGCGCAAACCAAGTAGGCTGATGTGTACAATATACGTATTACTACATGAATGGAGAAAGGGTAAGGGTTACATTGTCAATGGTGTTTTTGCGCTTAATAAATATAAAACTTCCCCCCCTCCCAAAAAAAAAAAATATCTTCAAAACCCACTGCAGTCAGCATGTCGTTGTGTCCCTGGGCAAGACACTTCACCCCAAATTGGTCCTGTGGGGATTGTCCACAGTATTGAATGTATGTAAGTCGCTTTGGATAAAAGCGTCTAACAAGTGACATGTAATGTAATATCTGTCCTTGTTGGGTTTAGTGTTGGGTATAAAATGGGATCAATGCCTTTTAACTCAAGTTTAAAACAACCTTAAAGACAAGGGTATTTCACAGAGTTCCTTGATAGAATAGATGCTCCTGAGACAGAACATGTCTAATCTTTGGGAAATACATCATTGCCTAAAGCTGATCAATAAATAAACACAGCGTTTTAGTTGTTTAGGCCTTCACAGATCTGCTCTTCACCCCCACTCCCCCAGCTCCAGACCCCACCTCCCACCCTTTTTTTCCAGCTTAAAACGAGCATGCCGTCAGTGAGAGTCACGGCCATACTGAATTCATTACTGCAGTAGTCACACAAAACCATGGATAGCATTTCAATAACTACAGGCCACAGTTGAGTAAACAGTTGCACTGAAACTTAATTCCTGTTGACTTTTCCTTCATTCTTTGCCAGGGGCACATTCTGATTCGCTCTGCAAAGACAACAGGGGTACAACTTTGATGAATTGACACAAAGGGGTGGGGGGAGAGATAAAAAGTGTCATGGATGTGTACTTGACACCAAGAGGGTTAAAGTAAAGCCCCCCTGCTAGACAAGAGCCAAGAGTCCAAGCATGCTCCCTGCTTTCCACAAGGAGCCAACTCTGAATGTCTTTTATATAGAAGTCTATGAGTTTGAGCCCCATCTGCTCTGATTGGTTAGCTGGCCAGCTCTGTTGTGATTTGTCAATCGCTTAGAGATGTCCCGCCGCTTAGTATATTACAGAAACAAAGTAGTCCAATCAATGTGTTTCTGGCAGGGGCGGATGTCGGGGAGAGGAAGTCCATCTGGAGGAATGTTAGCCTTTGCAGACCCTTTACATGCACACAAATCTATAAGACTTTCCTTTTTTGCATAAAGCTTATAGTTAGGGCTCCCTTAGGCTTACCTTGAAGCTTCCCCCTAGTTGTGCTGCTATAGGCTTTAGACTCTCCTTTTTGACAAAGCTTACTTTGGGATTTTAGCCTTTGCAGACCATTTACATGCACAAAAACGTATATGACACACTATGGGTGGAGGGAGAGAACGAGAAAGAAAGTGTCATACTGTAGATGTGCACTTGACACCAAGAGAGGATGAAAGCCTCCCAGCTAGACTTGAGTCCAAGCATGCACCCTGTTTTCCACCAGCAGGCAGAGCTGCACGATTTGGGGAAATAATCTAATTGCGATGTTTCTGACAGATATTGCGATTCGATTTGCGATATTTGTTTGAAGTTTATTGTAAAATGCGGCCATATCTCCGGCTAGGAAGGTCGCATCAACGTGCTCCCGTCTCTAGCAGCCCCGCAGCCCGAGCTACGAGTGAAAGAACTAAACTTACATGAAACTTCCGTTGGGTTGCTTTAAAGTCAAGCTTCAGTTTAAGACTCACCCTGTAATAGAAACACGTGATGGAGCATCACTAACCTGACCCAGATGGTTGGTTTCACCAAACCATCTGGGAAAGCTCCATTGGAAGCCTTTTGGAAAGGGAAGGCACTTTCAAATATACTTGGCAGGAGACTGGATCAATCTGTCTATCACCTTCTATCATGGGCCACTTCTGATTGGTTAACAATGACTGGTACATGTGGAGCACAGCACTTCTGATTGGTTAACAATGGCTGGTACATGTGGAGCACAGCACTTCTGATTGGTTAACAATGGCTGGTACATGTGGAGCACAGCACTTCTGATTGGTTAACAATGGCTGGTACATGTGGAGCACAGCACTTCTGATTGGTGTGGATGACTGAAAAAAAATAAAATAATAATAATATTTTGATAATTGCATCATTTAAAATCGCGATTTCGATGTAAAATCGATTAATCGTTCAGCCCTACCAACAGGGTCTGACTCTTAATATGTTTTTACATAGGGTCATTTTTTCATAGACTTGTCTCTCCGGGATCTGTCCTGGCAGTAAAAGGAATGAAAAAACTGCTTCCCAATACATTGTATTACAGTTGCATTTTCTGCTCTATGCATTCTACTGTCCTAAATAGCCATCGCTATGTTGCTTCATGCCTTTTAAACAAATCCAATAGTTAATTTCTGCGGCCTGCGGTTGGAGTTGAAACAGAGGGAGGCGTATTAATTGTTGTGTGTGACAAATGGCGCGTGGATGAGGACGGAGGATGAGATGTCTCACTCTCAGCTCCTGACACTGGGCTTTGATAGGCTACTTACCAGGCTTGTGATACTGGGAAGGCAGGCAGTCTTTTTATTCTCCCATTAGACTAACCCAGGATGTTCACTCATGCACCATGAACCATGTTAATTGTCCCCGGGGTATTACGATCTTCGCTCAATTACTTGATAACTTTTTACTTTTGTGGCATTTCACAGTCCTCTCTTTTAAGTTGTGTTTGCAGCTCGCACTAATACGACACACTGAAGTGCGTTCTTTTGTTCTCACAGATGCCATTACCCCTTTAGGTGAGGCAAAAATCAATCTAAAATCATCTCAAAGTGCAAACGTGCGAGAATCCCCTGAGTGAGCGCGAACAACAAACCTGGCAGTGGCATATCATTTATTCTTATTAGGGAACATAACTATGAAAGACAGTCCTCATTAATAAAGATGGGGGATGAAATAATTGTAATCTGTTTGATCATCTTGATTCTGACAGGAGAATTCATCTTGTGGACTAGTCAGATTTGGGGGAAGTGGACCATAAGCTCGATTTAAGCATCTCTATTAGTAAGTCAAACACTGTTTTGTTAAGAAGTGAGGAGGAGAAGAAGTCTCCTTTTTCCCCGCTCCAAGACGCTGTCGTAACGTCGCACATTTCACTTTTTGGGGAACTCAAAGTGAAACCGGTCGTGTCCTAATAGATTTATAAATATTTGTTGTGCATCTTGTTGCTTTTTTCCGGCTGCGCTCATTTGTTTGCAGCTGCTTGTGTATAATAAATGAGTATCTCCTTTTTAATAGAACATGAATATAACACATTCTTCAAGTGTTTGCCCCAGTGTTTTATTTCTCTGTGTTTTTGTTTGCGTTGCAGAAGTTGTGGTTTTATCGTTATCCTCATGAGGAAGTGAAGATACTGTAGGAGAGCAAAAAACAAAAACAAAAATACACAAGAAGAGTGTTTGTGCAATAACCTGTTTTGTGATTTGAATGATTTTGCAACAGGAAGCAGTGTTGTGTCGCAGTCAAATACACAATGATGACTTTTTATTAGC